GAGGGGGGGGGGGGGGGGGAGAGATATCCCCCAGCTGGGATAAGTCTAGGTTAGGATGAATGGGGCCACATAAGGACAACCTGTCCCAGAGTAGCAGCAGTTGTGAGGCAGCTCTGGTTTTGGGTGCCATGGATGGGGGAGGAGGCGGAAGGCAACCCTTCCTCTGGCCCCAGCATGGAGCAGCAGGGTACCATAGGGGGACAGGTGAGGCGCTCCCTCTTCAAACCCCAGCACAGAGCTGCCATGGCCAGGAGGGTGAGGCACTCCGTCCAACGGCCCCTGCACAGAGCTGCCACAGCTGCAGGGTAGGCACAGCCCCCGCTGGCCCAGCACAGAGCTGCTGTGGTAGCTCTATGCTGGGGCCAGCAGGCAGAGATGGCTCTCTGCATACCTGCCCTAAGCCCATGCACTCCCATAACCTGCACTAAGCCCTTTTTCAACATTTGCTCAGTTATGTGAGTTTTGAAGACTACTTGATTGTCTCTTTTCTTTTTGGTTTTATGAGACTTAATTCCATTCCTGGCACATCCTTTTTTCCTGGCACAACCATACCATCCCGTTGCTTTAAGTTATGGTAAGAGGAAGCTGCATACCGAATTTGGTAGTCCTAGTTCTTACTGTTTACTTGGACAGACACACACAAACTCTCAAATATTCAGTGGAGAAGATGCTAAAAGGTAAACGCTGCACTGTTTCATTGGCTGTGATAGCTGTAACACGCAGCAGCTGTGATTAAAACAAACCACTACAAACAGCTTTGTAACAGAGCGTGGAGTTATTTCTATCAATGAAGCGAAACAGCCAGCAATGTCCCCGTATGAATCAGAGGAGGGGAGTCACTTCAGCTCCCCCTCCCTAAAGGATGCCTGGGGGGGGATGGGAGTCTCAGAGTTGGAGCTGTCCCAGGTGGTGGGGGTGCACCCCCAGCCAGTTTAGACAACAGAATTTTATCATGCAATAATGTCTTGTGTAATGTAGCTTAATGACAGAATAAACAGAGGTAGCGTAATAGTTAATGTGAAAATAAATGCTAAGCAAACTAACTTTGTAAGCCCCCCCCCCTTGGTTAGCGGAAAGGAACAGACTTTTAGATACAGATACATCAGGCAGACTGCTCATGTCTGTATCTGATGTCAAGGCAGAAAGAGATCAGAAGGATCCTTGTGATTCAGCATGATCACACTGTGGCTCTTAGGAATAATTAAAATACAGGTTGTGTTATAAAGAAAATATGATAAAATATTAAAAGTTTGTACTAACAGAAGTAGAATTAGGTTGTATGCCTTAGGCAATTATACCTCTTGCCTATGTGAAATAATTATGTATTTCTGTAGGGGAGTGAATGAATGAGGACTATGAGACGACGTCTACATTGCGCTCTCTTGTGCGAGAAAATATGCAAATGAGGTGCCGCTTTTGCACAAGAGCTGTTCTGTCGCTTATATTCATCACCGTGCCTAATTTGCATATCTTCTTGCACAAGAAAGTGCAATGTAGACATAGCATGAGTGTTTAAAGAGAGATAAAGACTTGAACGCTACCTCAGCATCCAGATGGCCAAAGGAAGGGCTGGACTCAGAGGTTCCAAGACACTATCAAACAGGCCATTGGTAAAAGGAGACTGGTGCAGGACTGACAGATAGTTCTTGAAGTTAAGAGCAAGAACTCCTTAACCAAGACAGATAAAGCAGCCTTAAATCAATACCAGGAAAGATGCAGCAACATCCTGATATCAGATGGCAATGAAAAACAACTTCCAGATAAACAGATGTTACATGAACTGATGGTGACTGATTAAGAACTGACAGAGCAAAATGTATAGACGTGAATGAACAAGAGTCCGATAAAGGATGGGGTGTCTTGCATGAAACTTGGGTCTTGTCAAGCTTGGAGCATCAGCCTGGACCGAAAGAAGACCTACTCCTCTTCCCCTTGCAATTAACACTCCCGGTCAGTGAGTTAATGTGACCAAAAGACTGGTAACTATAAACAACCAGACAGGATGCGTGTGTGAGTATGTTTAAATACGTGGGTATAATAGACTATGTGCATATCCCAGAATGATGTTACATTACCAATGAATGTGGTGTTTTACCTTATCACCCTGAAAAAGATCCAGGGTAATTCTTTCAAGTGTAACACCAGTCCCTTTCACCTGCCTGGTGATTCTGTCTCTCTTCTGTATGTTTCTTAAAAAAAAAAAAACCAAAAAAATCCCATTCCAGGCACATCCCATTTTCCTGGCACAACCAAATCCTGACCTTGCTTTAGGTTATGATAAGAGGAAGCTGTATACCAAATTTACCATTTAGAAGGAGTTCTTGAATAGACAGAAACACTCTCAAATATATAAGTAGTTGTGCACAAAGCATTCTAATACTACTGTTCAAGGTAGTACTACTGTATTCGAGTACATGGATAACCGATGAGCTTGGGCTCATCAGTTAACCCTCTCCATTACACACAGTCCTACCCCCGCTGCCTCTGTATCAGTGGGAGCCGGTGCACATGGGGAGCCAGCTCTCACATAAACGCTTCCCCCACAGCTGCCACCCACAGAGGAGGCTCCCAGTGCATACTGGCTTCCACGGAGTCACCAGCTTCCCCCACATACACCCACTGCTGCATTCCAGAGGCAGCAGCATGGGCTGACAGGTGGGAAAAGGGAGCCAGTATTGCACAGGGAGCACAAGCCACTTTCTCCCCCCACCCCTACTGCTGCCTCCCACAGAGGCAGCAGCAAAATGGGTGGGGAGAAGCTTAAAACACTGGCTTTTGTGGAGCTGCCTCTTTGCTTTCCTCCCTGCAGCCTCTTAAAAGCCACCCACTCCTCCCTGCATGTAAACATGTATCCACTAAAAGTTTTTAGAGGGTACACGTTTACAAAAATAAACACATTTTAACATCCCTAGTTCAAGCTTCACATCTCTTCTGACCTTAGCTGTGCAACAGCCATCAGCTCTGTAAGAAGCAATTTACATGGTTCAAAATTTCAAAGTCACAATTGAGAACACGGGAATTTACCAACAGTGCAGTTCTCATTTTGGAGGCCCCTTTTTAATGTCATCTGTTGCAGAAAAATCTAATGGAATTGGGAGTTGGTGGGCAAAAGAGAGAATGAAGTAAATGGGTATCCTTGTAATTTGTGCACGAACAAGCACAAATTATGCATGTGCATTTTTGTGTGAATAACCCACCTCTTATACATATCCAGCAATCATCTTTTTTATTGTGTTTTGCAAGCTCCTCTTCACTCACTTCAATTAATCTTCCTTTCAATCCCGTTAAATCTTTTCCACTTTTAGTTAGTCGAATCCAGTCCATAAGACTTCTGCCTGGTTTTAAAGGAACCTAAAAAGTAAAATGTATGCTAACATTTTCAAATGTTAAAGGAAAAGTGAGACAACGTGGGTAAGGTAATACCTTTTATTGGAAAAGTGCACATCCAAAGGACTACCGTGTTTGTTTTTGCAAGAAGTATGTGCAGTGGCACAAGAACACTTAATAGTGGGGATGCTGAAAGCCAGCCTCTTACCCCAGTCTGCTCTCCCATTCCAAGCTGTGGGGACAGGCCCAGAGCCAGAAACAGAGGCCCAAAATCAGCAGCCAAGAGGGCAGCAGCATAGGGATCTTGGGCACCGGGCTGGTGACGCAAGCCTATTGGTACTGGAGCAGCCCTCACACCAAGTTCTCACACCTACGAGGATATGGATAAAGCAAATGTAATCCTGTTTGTTTTCTCTGCTGCCATAAGAAACCCATGGATCAAAGCAAGAATACTTGGGACAGCTACCTGCTCACTCTAGGCAAGTGGCATTCTCCACTCTCCATGCCCTTTCAATCTTTACCCATCTAATAACATAAGTATCTACTGGTGGATATTTCTCCAACATTTTATAGCAAGTACATGGAGAAACACAACATGCAAATTTGGATTTAATAAAGAAAACTAACAAATATGGGTTATGGTTAACACCAGAATTGCCAGATTTACAATCTTTATAGTCCTCTATTGGATCTCTGACAGTTTCCAACCCGAGATGGTTCAAAGGATTGCATAAGTACCTTGAAATGGGCAATTATAAAATAGTAATCACACATGCCCTCCTTACCTTAGGCCGTGACATATAAAGAGCTAGGGATGTAATAGTGTATAAGCAAAAGCTAATAGGTTAATGCGATAGACTATAGGGATGTAAGCAATTAGTCAACTACACGATAAACAGAAGCTTATCGACAGTCAAGTAATCACTCAATTAGTTTTATTTATTTATTTGTTTAAAATATTTTAGCCTGCCTCTCTATTTGAAATATTCAAGGTGGTTTACAACAAATTTTAAAACACAATATAAATATATATACAAATTTAAAATACAAGACCCCAGAAGGACATAAAACCTCTAAAAGCGTCTCAAGAGGAGGAACACACACATACTCAAACACCAATAAAAGCACGAGTAAACAGGGTGGCTTTAGCCTGATGCCAAAACAATGCTAATGTTGGTGCCACGCAAATATCCCGAGGAAGAGAAATCCACAGCCTGGGAGCAAAAGCTGAGAAGGCCCTGCTCCACGTAGATGTTAATCTTATCTCCATAAGTGGGGGAACATTGTGCAGAACCTCCCTAGCTGACCTCAATCCCCGGGAAAGTTCATATGGGAGAAGACTGTCCTTCATATACCCCAGACTCAACCTGTTTAGGGCTTTATAGGTCATAACCAAGACCTTAAATTGTGCCCGGAAACATACTGGAAGCCAGTGCAGCTGCCAGAGCACTGTCATAACATGACCCGTATAACAAGTATTAGATAAAATTCAAGCAGCCACATTCTGGGCCAGTTGAAGTTTCCAAAGGCTTTTTAGAGGCAGTCCCATATTAAGCACATTACAGTAATCCAGTCAGGATGTTGCTTCCTCCACACCTTGATGCCTATCAGAGAAAGGGAGCAAAGGGGGGAGGAGGGAAGAGCATCAGCCGGTGCTGGGGGGAGCTGTCTTAAAAGCCATTCCCCCCTCAACACTGTCTCCGCAGGGGAGACAGAGGCATCCCTACTGCTACGCCTCTCTTTGAAATGTACAAGATCCCTGCAGGCCTCTCCCTCTGAAATGTACAAGTGCTGCTGTAGCTCTTGTACATTTCAAAGAGAGAGGCACACTGTGGCCCCAATGCTGCATCTTTCCCTCTGAAATGTACAAGAGTCACCAGCGGTTTGTGTACATTTCAAAGGGAGAGGTGCAGGAGCAGGGACCTAAGCAGTCCCCCTGCTCCTCTTCCTTTGAAATGTACAAGAGGCGCAGGCCACTCTTGTCTATTTCAAAGGGAGTGGCACAGCAGGATAGCGAGCGCCCCCTTATCAACTCATCAAGTAGTCGATGGAAACTGCATCAAGTACTCAATTAGTTGATTAATTGAAATTTAATGTCCCTAATAGACTCACAATCCTCCTCCCCCACCAATTTTTTTAGCAGACTGGCCAATAGAGCAGTGCAGTTCTAGCTCGCACCGGATCCAAGAGCTCAGCCCCTTTCCCCAGACATGGGCTGCTGCCACCCTACAATGCCACCTCTGTATCAGAGGCATCAGCATGGGGCAGCAAGCAGCCAGTCTGTGGCGGAGAAGTGGGGGTGGAAGAGAGCTGGGTTTTAGACTGGCTCCCCTCATGGACCAGCTCCCACCTGGCACCCCACACTGCCCCTGATAGAGGCAGCAGCACGGAATGGCAGGGGGCTCATTGGGAGTGATGCTGGAGCCCCCAGAGACTATAAGGGATTATGGAGGGGGTCACAGTATCACAAAGCTTGAGAACCCCTCAAGTAACCAATAAGAATTGATGCGGGGTACAGATCACAGCTGGAGGATTCTCTGCATCTTGGGGTCTTCAAAGTATTTGAAGGCTTCAATATCTGAGATATAGGTGAGAGGATCATTCTAGGAGGGGTGGGTGAGATTTTATGGCCTGCACTGTGCAGGGGGTCAGACTAGATGATCATAATGGTCCCTTCTGACCTTAAAGTCTATAAGTCTATGAGTCTATGAGGTTAATCAACTATTGAATGATCCCCTCTTTAACCCTCCTATAAAGAGGAACACACTTTAACCTTATACCATTATTAAAAATGCAACAATGTACTTGTGGACTGTCTTTATTATATATAAAACGCCAACCCTGCTCTACTCATGCAGCTGGTGCCTGGTGGCAATGAGTCCGATAGACCAACTGTCCAGCCTTTCATGAAGCAGAGGTTTTCACTGATCATGCGCCCATCACTCCCGCTTTCCTTCGGGCACTTCTGGAGCTCTTCTCGCCCGCCCCGGCCAGTAACGTTGCGCTACAGCACGGAAAGGACCCCGCGGGCTTTCCTCACCACACGCCAGTGAGCCGTGTGGCCAGGCGAGACGGGCCCGAGCCCCCGAGCGAGGCTGCGGGGGAA